ATTTATTGTTTACTTTTATTTTCCTTTTTTTATTTATTTAATATTAAACGTTCTTATCTATGCTTTATCTTTATAAATTTATATTTTTTTAATTTTAAGAAAAAAAATTAAATTTTTTTGTCCGCAAAAAATTTGCGGACAAAAAAATTTTTTGCGGACAAAATTTGCGGACAACTCAAAAATTCAGAATAGTTAGGTATTTGTATTTTAAGAATTTTTTGCGCTATTTTAAGAAAATATTCTAAATTAATTAGGTATAATATAGGCAATTATTTATTTGTTTAATTCACCTGTGCCAGCCTATTTTGTTTTTTAATTGTTTGTTTTCTTGGGGTATTTTAGGTAATTTATTGTTTAATATATTTTATTAAATTTAATTTTATATTTAAATAAAAAATATAAATTTTAATTGAACAATAAAATTAAATTGCCAATTTATTTTTTAAAAATTTATTTTGAGTCCAATAATCTTTAAAAAAATTTTTGTCCGCAAAAAATTTGCGGACAAAAATTTTTTCCATAAACAATTTTTTTTCTTTCCTCTTTTTAAGATACTCGTGACCTTTGTTTGTGTTTATATTATCTCAGTATATTTTCTCTTTTCATTTTTTATTTGTTTCAAGTTTTTTCTTCTGGTTTTTGATGACTTTTGTGTTTGGAGATTATTAGAGTCTGAAGCTTTCTAGATGAATGGAAGGCTATTTGAGTCTGAGGCTTTTATAAATGACATTTCGACTTAAATAGGCATTAATTTGGCATTTTGATTTTTTCTCATATTTTAAATTAAACAAGAAAATTGGAAAAATCCAGAAACCGATCAAATCCCAAAAGCCTGACCCGGATTCCGGATTTGCATCTAGAGCCTGACTGAATCCGGCCGGATTTCTCTGGATTAATCCGGTCCGGTTAATCCGGAAATTGCGAAAAATATCCGGATTTGGTACCCGGACTTCGGAAAAATCCGATCTGCTCCGGTCCAGTCCCAGTCACTATTTTTAATCCTTCCTGACCCTTTGAGTTTGGAAATATTTTATTTTGAGACTCTAATAGCCCTTTTATCTATTTTTGCTTTTTGACTCTATTACTCCTTTCAAAATTTTATTTTCTTTAAATAAAATTTAATTTTCTTTGTCTCTTTATTTTTGTTCTTTGGTTTACTATCTGCCTCCAATCATTCTCAACTATCACGGGGTTTTCAATATTTAATGGGCCTTCGGGGTTATTTTACTATATGACATTTTTAAATAAAAGAATTGAGGAAATAAAGGATACTATAAATTTACTTAAAGAAAATTTTTTTTAAACAATTTTAAAATAAAAAAGGCCAAAAAACATTAAAATTAAAACCTTGCTAGAGACAATGGGAAAATGAGAGATTTTCTCTAACAGTTAGAGAAAAAAATATTCTTTTTTCAATTTTTTGAGTTTTGTTTACTTATAGTTGGATCTCATTATAAAATACATGCCTAGTGAAAGAAAATTAAGTGCCTTATAATGGATGTATCTTAAATAGAGAGTATCGCTTAGACTTCTCCCTCCAGTGACTAACCAAAGTTAAAAAATCTATCTTAAACTGGGGTTATCTAGTATTAGGAAAAAATGGATATAAAGAAGGGATGCATTTTATAATGAGGTCTGACTTGTGTTTTTTTTAGTTAACAAAAATTTTCGAAAAATTTTGCAATTAAAAAAATTTTCAAAAATTTTGCTAGAGACAATAGAAAAACGAGAGATTTTCTCTAACCGCTAGAGAAAAAAATATTCCTTTTTGCAAAATTTTTTAATTTTTTTTGAAAAAAATTTTTAACTTTGTTCTTTGATAAAATTTTATGAATACAAATTTTAAACAAAAATTTTATTAACAAATTTTTACAAAATAAATACTAGTTTTGCTATCAATGAATAACCTTCATCGTTTCTCTCATTAATTCCTCCAAAGTTCTCTCTTTCTTTCTATTAAAAAAATTATTTTTATTTTAACACATGACTGTAATAATAATGATGATGTTGCTTTAATGATTACGTGTATTTAATTATATTAAAATAAATAAATAAATGATTATTTGGCAATTGCTTATTGGTGGGTGCGCGTATATAAAAGGAAGAAAAGGGAAGGGAATTAAATTAGAAATTAATTTTTAATTTACAAAAAAACTTCCGCTATATTATAATACTTTCAGAACCTCATTGCAACTTAGAAAATATTTTTTTATCTTATGAGGTGTCTCTTAAATATGTAGAAGTGATGTGTATAGGAGGCTATCACTTGAACAGCCCTATCCTCGCTCTTCCACCCCCTCAGCTATCAACTTTTAAAAAAAGTATTTCAAATAGAGGTGTATCTTCTGTATCTTATAAGGTTAAATAATAGAGGTGAGGTGTATTGGAGGCTACTATCACTTGAGCAGCTACTATCACTTGAGCAGCCCTCCCTCTCCACCCCCCCCCCCATTCCCCCCCCCCCCCTATCCCCCTCCTACTAACTCTTAAAAAAGTATGTTAAATGGAGGTTTATCCACTATAAGGGATACTTCCTATAGAGAAGACTGGCCCCCAAAATTGAGTAATTTCCCTTAATTACTTCAATTTTTTATTCATTTTCCCCTGAAAATTTAAAATAATACCCTAACCCACAAGATCAACACCCTAAAAATCAACGCCCTTAAGAAAGCCACCGCCTTTTTAATTTTGATCTCTTGGGTGGGACCTTTAAAGTAAAATATAAAAATTATTTATTTTATCGTGTTTATCATTTAAATTTTTATATTTAATTTTATTTTTTGCTTTCTTATTAACAAAAATTTTTTTTAATTTTTATTAATTTACTTGCCCAAAGTTCGTTTACTTTTTTTTAATTTAATATAAACTGATAATGTTAAACGAGACTTTTTGGAATAAAAATTAAACATTCTTGACTGGGTATATATAAATAATTAATTTTGTTAAGTTTTCATCATTCTTGGTAAAAATTTTTAGTTTTTAAGATTATTAGTTTATTGGGAGGAGGAGTGGGAGGGAGGGGGTCTTTTCGGCGCAACCGATACACTTTTAAGGGCACTCTAATAGAAAGCTTTGCTCCTATAACAAGTCCTCTCTAATACAAAGGAGAGGCACTCTCTAATACAAAGGCACTCTTCAATTAAGGGTCTTGGGTATAAATACTCTCTAATTGTGCGACGCTTTTTTCTAAGCTCTCCTAGGCAAGGGTCCTTTTAAGGGAGATAGGCCCAAAACGGCGCGTGACCATAACGGCGCAAAGCCCTAGCCTGCTTCAATATTTTCTATTCCTTCCAAGTTTAGTATTCAATGATTGCTATATCTTCGATATCCTTTTAAAATTACTAAGATTTTATTTTCTTTTTAAATTTTACACTAGGTACCTCAACAACAAAAAAATTCATTTTAGCCCTTAAAATGATTAAACAAAAATTGGGGTTTTTTACAACAATACACATAAATATACTCTACTAAAAAGCAATCCTTTCTTTTCTATATAATTTGAGCTTCACTCTTTTTACTTTATTTATTTTTATATTTCTTCTCAATTTTCTACATCTGCTTTTCCTTTCCTCATTTTACCAACATTTTCCCTTGTTTATGAAGGGACGTTTCGGCGCAGCCCTTTTATTCTCTACTTAACGCCCCTTTTTTCGCGCCAAACTGTCTCTTGTTTACATTTTCGTCAGAAGCGGACATTTCGGCGCAGAAAATTGTTTTTCTCATGGCGCCGTGTTTTTAGCGCCGAAAGATCCTCCCTCGTTTTATTACTTATCGAGCACTCAACGCACTCTGCTCTCTCTTCTTTTAAACATTTCTCTCTCTCTTCTTTTCAAAACCACTCCTCCCTCTCTCCCCGGCCCTTCAGGGGCCTTCATTCTTTATGCTCCTCCCTTCCTTCTCCCACCACTACATTTGCTTCTCCTCAATACTTTTTTTCTTCATTTTTCCTTTTCAGCTGCTTTATAATTTTTCTATTTTATATATTTAGTGTTGGATATATAAAGAATTGGTCGATATTTGACCTTTTTTAAATTAAAATTTAGTATTCATTAAATTTTAAATTACGGTAGGACCTCAACATCTCCTTCCTCCCTCCCCGGCCCTCTTAGGGGTATTCTGTAAATTCACTCAATGCTCCTCTACACCTCCATTCAAGTCACTTTCTTCTAAATGTGATTAGTTACAGAGTAGAGGAGCTGCCTAAACGATACCCTCGATTTAAGCTATCCCCCACTATAAGAGACTAATTTTTCTTCCCCTAAGGGGTATTCTTATAAGAGAGGATTGACGGCGATTGAAAAATCAAACTGGAAAACGAAAAGCTTCTTTCTCTTAAGTTTATTCTTCAGTCCATAGACTCCCCTTTTGCTTTATCCCGAGTCCTCTTTCATTTAGACATCTCGACTTTTTTCAGTCAAAAGCCTGAAGCAAACCAACTCAATGGGTAACCAATTACCAAATTGTTTTCCTTCTTGCGACTCCTTAAAATTTTCTTTAAGTCTTGCGACCTTGCGACCTCTCTTGTTTTCCACCTCAAACTTGGTTATACTCCATTAAGTTTTTATTTTTTTCCAAGTTTTATTCTCCCCTCTTTTTATCCTTTTCAAAATAAACGAAGGGAAAATGCTCGTTTTTACATAGTTATGGTTGGTTGCGCAGTTATAAAATTTATTGAGGGGTGGTCGTTTTCTTTGATCGCGCGTTTATAACTAATAAATATAAATAAATTTATTTTTGTTTTTCTTTAAAAATTTTATTTTTAAAGAAAAAATTAAAAACAATTTTTTATACAAAAATTAAAAAGGAATTCAAGCCCAATTACGATAAAACATCTCCCTTCGATATTACGACACTTGTATTATGACGGAGGTCAATTCAATTAGAGATCGGATTGAAACGATATAAGTCGAATCTCGATACTACGACGCTCCCTGTTGAGTTTTGAGTAGAGTAGCATCCCGTCTCCCGAACCCCTGACTATTTTTTTGGAAAAAACCCCGTTCTCCGAAACCCGAAGGCTCTACCCCGACAAACCCCAATCTTCGACGATCCCACCCCCCGAAGGCTCGGAGTCTACCCTAATTTAAAGACTGGACTTGGAGTGAATCGAGAGTCGATAGTTGACTTTTATATCTTTCTTTTACACATTTTTGGATTTTTTTCTAAATTTAATTTAATTAATTCCACCCACTCGAAAACACTCCCTAACACCCCTTCCCATTTTTTATTTTTTTATTTTTAATCATTTTAAATTCTGTCAAAATTAATTTTAATTTAATATTTAATAAATTATTTTAACATATTAATTCATTTTAAATTTATTTTTGTTTAATTAAATTTTTAAATAAATTAAAGTTTTGGTGTTATTGCTGTTTTTTAGTCGCCTTCCCTTAGTTTTTCTTTCATATCTCGACAATAAGAAGTCGGATCGCTTTAATTTTGGTATTTTCTGATTCAGCTTGAAGAGGCGCATCGAATGATACCAAAATTAAAAATATCCCACTTTTCTTTGTTGACTTATAAATTTAAATAACTCGAGTAGCTTTTTAGAACAACTAGAAAAAACAGTGTTTAGCCAAGCTACTAGTAACAACACTTGAAAATGATTGGAATTATACATACATTTTCAAACTTTTTAATTTATAAACTCCTGTTAATTAAATATTTATTTATTTTTAAATGCCCATAAATAAAATTTCCAACGTGACAATTTTTTATTTTTTAAATTTTGCCTCTTTTTTTTTTAATTTTATTCATTTTCTCGCGTTTTTTATTCATTAATTTAATTTTAAAAAATTAAAAAAATTTTTATTTTCAGATCCAAAGCCCTTACCCAACAACCTCTCCTTACACGCGCATAATTTTCATCTTTTTGTCAACAAATCTGAAGCCCATTAGAAGGCAAAAAGTATTAGTGTTGACGACAGTGAGTAGGAGTAGGAAGACATTGAAAATCAGCTGCAGCCGAGTGGTAGAGTGAAGAAAAAAGTGTTTGGAAATTGAAACGGGTAAAAAAGGATTAAAACGAGTAGAAGCTACAACATTGTTGTAGTTGACAACAAATTCAAGCAGTAATTGCAACACAACATCAGGTTGTGGAAAAAGTAGTTGACAACTAGTTGGAGCAGTATCTGCAACACAACAATAATTTGGAAAAATTAGTTGGAGCAGTAACTGTGACACAACTAGAGCCAGTAGAAAGCGTTTAGAAAGAAGATCATCTCTAGTAGAAGAACAACTAGAAGAACAACTAGAAGAATAAACACGAGTAGCTCTTTAGAACAACTAGAAAAACTATTGTTTAGCCAAGCTACAAGTAACAACATTTTTTAATTATAAAAATATTTTTTGTGTTTATTGTAAAAAATATTTTTCTACCAAAAAAAGTGCTAAACAACTGACTATTTTGAAAAAAAAATTTTTTTTGGACTTTGAAGGACACTGAAAAAAAATTTTTTTAATTGCAAAAACTCGTTTTTCTTTCTATCCACGTGAAGAGTAAAAGAAGGACCGAAAGCAATAACAACTTTTTAAAGAAGAAAAAATAGAAGAAGAAAAAAATGTTCTTTTTCGACGAGGACAGAGATGATGGACAGCAAATGGATGTGAAAAACAACAACAACAATTCTCAAATTTATCATGATTTTGCTATTCCACAATTTAATAGTAGAGGAGGAATGGTGGCGTCGACAACTGCTGCGATAAAAGGTGTGTGAGTGTGTGTTTACTAAAAAAAAATTTATTTTTTTTTGAGTGAGTAGGGGGCCTCACTTTAAGAGATACAATCTTTAAGGGCTGAAAAAATGTTTTTCTATAATGAGGTTATTTTAAATTGAGGGGGTTGCTTAGAGGGGGAGGAGGTATCACTTAAACGGCCCTCCTCTCATCAATTTCCAACCAATTTTAGAAGAACGTATCTTAAATCAGTGTGGATCTACTGTTGAGTTTCTCTTATAGTGAGGTCCGATTCTGTATATTGTTGTATTTATATTGTTTGTCTTTAGGTGTTTTGAAGTTTTATGTAGAGCTCGGCACGGAACGGGACCCTGTCCCGGAATCCCGGGTTTTCAGCGAAAAACGGGATATACTGGATTAATCTCACGGGATCCCGTCCCGTTCAAAATTTTTAAACTTAATCCCGTTACGGGATCCCGAGAATGCGATTTTGTCGACCTCTAGTTTTATTTGTTAATTGATATTTTAAAATTTTTTCCGTTAGTTGACATTATGAAATATTTTTGAATAGGGTGTTTTGTCTATTTGACATTTTGAAATATTAAAAGTTGACATTTTGAAATATTTTTAGTTTTGGGTGTTATGAAACATTTTTGCACTATTTGACATTTTGAAATAAATTTTTGTTTACTATATTGCCTTCCTGATTAAATTTCCTTAACAATTTCCCATCGTTTTTTTTATTCTTTTTTGCGTCATTTATCGTCTTTCTTTTCTCAATTTGTTTCTTTTCCGGTTGTCAAATACACACACAAGCGTGTGGGGCTTTTTAAAGCTTTTTATTGGCTTTTAACCTTTTTTATTTTTTTTCTTTTTACGTTTATAAAGGCAAAAACTAAAAATAAATAAAAGAAAATACATAGAAAGAAAAGGGGGCAAAAACCAAAAAAAATATTTTTAGAAAATTAAATTTTTTGAGTACACCTTGCGGCAGGGCTTATAACTGAGTCTTTAAATTTGATATAATTTTAAGTAGGTATTTTGTCGAGCTGCGTTGCGGTACCAAAAAGCTACTTTGTTAGAAGTTTCTTACGTATGTAGTAGGTTAAGGCTGTATGTCCGTCTGGTTAACCGAAACCCGGAATTTTTCCCTCTTAATCCCCCTAACTATACCGTCAGGAACCTGTACTATCAACCTAACATGTTTTTCTCAGCCCGTCCCATCCCTGCTATATTACTGTCCTGTTTCCAATTTTTAGACTTGAAACACTTAATCGAAATCCGGAATGTTCCCCTCTTAATCCCAATTCCCCTAACTATACCGACCAGAAACCCGGACTTTTTCCGATCCGAAACCCGACATGCTTTTTTCTCAACCCGTCCATTCCCTGCCATATGACTGTCCTATTTCCAATTTTTAGACACCCAAAAATTTTTAATTCAAAGAATAAACTAAATTGACCTTATCTGTACTGAAATCAACAAGACTAAGAAAATTTAGAAAAAAACTTTTTTGATTAAATCAAAAATTTGGGTAGTTTACTCTTTTACCTTCCCAAAATGACAAGATTTATAAAATCAAAAAAAAATAAAATTTCCAACTGTGAAATTAAAAAAGAAAAAAAAGAAGAAGACCTATTGACATTTAAATAATTTAAAAAGGGAATTTTGTGTTCATCACGAGTTGTTGAAATTGGATAATAAAATATAGGGGAGAGAATTGTTTAAGAGAAAAAAGAAAGAAGAGATAATCTCTTCTTTTTCTTTCTTTTATTGTTTGGCTTTTAAATAAAAATAGAAAAGTTATGGGGGGACTTTTTTTATTTTTGCGCGACTAAATTTTTAGTTAAAAGAAAAGTACAAAAATCATTTTTTGGATTTATTAAATTTTTTTTTAATTAGAAAAATTTATTTTTGTTCTCTTTTTAATGAGAACATCTTTTTTAAATTAATTTTTATTTTATTCTAACATTTCGTGATGACGAGCTTTTTGGCCACTCGCGGCTATTTCTTGTTAACCAAGCTGTTGATTTAATTAAACTTTTCTTCGGTCCCCTAAAGTTTCTTTGTGTTGATATTAGGATGCCCTGAAGATAAATAGTGTGGCTAAGTTGGTTACGCTTCCAATTTTAGAGTAAGGGTTGACAGGTTTGATATCCTTGCGTGCTAAATTGTTTTAAATAATTTATAGACTTTAAGGTTATTTTTTAGAATTTCGAATGTCTCACCCTACAGTTTTAAAAATATTTTTTTGCCATTTTTTAGCTCCCTTAGACGAACACAAATATTTAAATATGGTATTTTTATGAACCTTCTGAACCTTTAAAAATAAAAAAATGGCAGATGGGGAAAGGCCAAAATATAAACACATATCGGTCGCACTTATTCCCCTTCTTTCTCCTTCATCTTAATATGAATAATTATTTTTATTTATTTATGGCATTTCTTTTTTCTTTTTAAGCGCACAAATGTCATAAAAAGGCATTTTCTTTAAAATACATAAAAACAAAAAAATTTTTATTTTCCAAAAATAGTAAATACTCTAATGATTACAGTAGAAACATTAAAAAAATGTGTAAACAACTTAAAAATATTTTTAGAAAATTAAATTTGTTTTTATTTATCCTTGAGCTTTTTTAAATCCCGAAAAAACAATTCAGTAATTCGTATCGAATTTTATAGAGCAGGCCAACGTACCGCAAGACCAATATACCTCTGAGCTATAACAGTTCAAAATAGTCAAATCCGGGACGCCTTGGTATGGTTCGATGCATCTTGAGGAGCTGAATCGAACTACACTCCGTTCCAAAAGTATATAGCCACCCAATTTTTTTTCTAAATCTCCAGCTAATTCAATTTTTAAATAGGTTATGATTAATTTGAAATATTTTTTAGACCCGTTCTAAAGATCTGATAATGTAATTTTATGCGCTATGAAAATATACGTATAGAAATTAGGGGATATTTGACTTTACACAAAATTAATGCGTTCCAAAAGTATATAGCCACCTTAGTTTTATAGGTTTTCAATAGTGTGAAAAATTCTCAAAAATTTTTGAGAACATATCTATCAATATACATAAGAAATACAAAAGAAATGAAGTTCTGATGTACTCCCATCATCGAGATCTTGAAACCCGAAAATCAACGGAAAACCGAGGTAGACGTCTTTAAAAAATATTTTCGACCTCTTACTGGTAAAATAAAAATTTAATTTTAGGCTCATTTGAAAGCCCTTAAAATTTGCTACAAGATAGTGTTCATCTCATAATCCAGAAAAAATCAATCTATGAGAAATAGTGAGTTTAGTTTATAAGTTACATTTTTATCGCTTTTTTGGGGTGTGTTTGAGTGATTTCTATGACCCGAATGTTTATCACATTAGGTCTTACAGTCGAATTTTTTTCAGATAATAAAATTAATGCTATCTTGTAGCAAATTTTAAGGGCTTTCAAATGAGCCTAAAATTAAATTTTTATTTTACCAGTAAGAGGTCGAAAATATTTTTTAAAGACGTCTACCTCGGTTTTCCGTTGATTTTCGGGTTTCAAGATCTCGATGATGGGAGTACATCAGAACTTCATTTCTTTTGTATTTCTTATGTATATTGATAGATATGTTCTCAAAAATTTTTGAGAATTTTTCACACTATTGAAAACCTATAAAACTAAGGTGGCTATATACTTTTGGAACGCATTAATTTTGTGTAAAGTCAAATATCCCCTAATTTCTATTCGTATATTTTCATAGCGCATAAAATTACATTATCAGATCTTTAGAATGGGTCTAAAAAATATTTCAAATTTATCATAACCTATTTAAAAATTGAATTAGCTGGAGATTTAGAAAAAAAATTGGGTGGCTATATACTTTTGGAACGGAGTGTATATCAGGGCGTCCAATTCGACTATTTTGAACGAAGTTGGAGCTCTGCGGTAAGTTAGCCTTGCGGTATGTTGGGGTCTACCCATATTTTATTTTTGGCTTATTTATATTGGGGATTGACCATTTTGGTTGCTGATCATTTTATAATTTTTTTTTGGAATACTGACCATTTTTTAATTTTACCGTTTTGAGATTTTACCGTTTTGGGTTTTACCTAACCATTTTGCTTATATCGGATATTACTTAATCATATCCGCTTTTTATTTTTTTTCCTTTTTTTAATCCTCAAAAAAATATCCATTTTGATGTAAATATTTTCTTTATTGGAAGTATTAAGCTTTAAAACTAGGAAAAAAACAAAATTAATGGAGATTAGGCTATAAAGAGAAGGGGTATTTTAAGAAAAATATTTTTTAACTTCTAAGCATAATTTTCGCTTTATTTTTCTATTAAGAATATTTTTTTAAAATTTATTCACTATCTAAAATAATTCTTTGACTTTTTCTAGTCTTATTATTCATCTATTTTTTTCTCGACTTTTTTTTTCAAAAATATTTACCCCAAAAAGTCTCTCTCATTTTATTTACTTCATTCAAAAAAATGTTTTTTGTGTGAGTAATTTTGTATACGTTTATTAGTCTACGTGTGCTAAAAAATTGTTGTTTTTTTGTGGGTTAGAGACAAAAGAAGGAAAGCATGGAAAATAGTAGAAAAGAAAAGAATATTCGAGAAAAGCGGAGAATAATTGATGAGAATTGGAAAGTGTGGGGTGTGTGTATAAAATGGTGGTTGGGCGCTCACACAATCATCAGCAGCAGCAGCGGAATAGTAAAGGAGAAAAAATATAAATTTTATATTTGGGTGCGGGCGAAGAACATGACGACCATCAGTCTTGTATTTCTGACAAAATTTTCAGAATGTCAATTTTTCAAAATACCCAATAGGCGAAGAATGGACAAAATGCCCATTTTCAAAATGCCCACCAGGCAAAAAATGGACAAAATGTCAATTTTTCAAAATGCCCAATAGGCAAAAAATGTACAAAATGTCCAAATCGAGTTTGCTGTCCCGTGACGTGAAGGGGATTGAAATTGGACGTTTTGTCCATTTTTCCCTTCTGACCATTTTTAAATTTTTGTCATATTTCCTTTCCCCCATTTATTACTGTCCCATGCAATATTGTTTACGACTAAGAGAATCACGCGCCCTCATACACAATTTTTTTCGTAAACAAATCCGTCCGCGTCCAAAATTTTTTTCATTTTTATACAACTTTTTTTCTCTCATCAATATTGCTTTTTTTAATAGTTTTTTCTGAGTACTTAAAAAGAATATTTTAGAAAAAAAAGGCGAAAGATAAAAAAAGAAAGGACGGAAAGGGGGGACTTAAACTTTAGAATATTTTTAAAAAATTTTTAATTTTTCTTTCCAAGTTTGTTTAGAGTAAGGGACTGAATGGGAATGTAGAAAGATGAGAAGGGTGTATTTTGTATAAGCAGGGATCGGTCGATTCCGATTTCTAAAAATTTCCACCTATTTTAGGGTTTTACCCCGATAGCTTGAGGGCGCGTTCGTCGGTTGGAGTATGAATGACATCAAGTTGTTACCCCAACAAACGCGCCTTCAAGCTGCCGGGGTTTCCACGTTCCATCTTTTGAGCCATTTCCGATTTCCGATAGTTCCAATTCCCCCGGCACCTTCGTCATTTTCGACCGATCTATGCTACCTAGTCTTACACTGTCACGTACTCTAGGTGACAGAATGCACAATGGACTTCGTTCTTTTATAACGAGTTTTTTTGCTTTTCCAAATTTGTGTTTATAAGAGACAAAAACGGCAATCCCGGAGAATTGGGGTCCCTGCGAAAAAAAAGTTTAAAAATAAGAAAAAGGATTTTTCTAGGGTAAAAAAATATGCTTATTACGAATCCGAGCTCAGATTTTGAAAAAGTCGAATCCCGAACCCGAATTTGGACTTTTGATCCCGAACAGAACTTTTGACCCCCAACTTTATCAGACATTGTACAAAATGGCCAGTCTTTCAATAGAATTATAGAACTCATCGAGCTGCATCGAATGACACCAAAAACAATGAAATCCGACCGGATTGAACCGAGATACAGACCCCTAAATATTGAATAACCACATGGGTGATTTTTTCGAGTAAAAAAAAGTTTATGCAAATGATACCTCATTCGAAAGAGCTCGTCTAGTTGAGTCGAATGACACCAAAGTCACAGTAATTCATCAAGTTTTAACAAAGTTATGACATATGTCGCCGACTCCTACAGTACTCCCATAGGTATACTTCATGTCATAACTTTGTCTAAACAGGTTCAATCACGTCGATTTTGGTGTCAATCGATGCAGCTCGACGAGCTCTTTCGAATGAGATATCATTTGCATATTCGAAATTCGGGTTTCAGGGTTCGAAATTTGGTTCGGGTTCGGGATTCGACTTTTTCAAAATCTGAATTCAGATTCGTAATCAGCATATTTTTTTACCCTAGAAAACGCCTTTTTCTTATTTTTAAACTTTTTTTCCGCAGGGACCCCAATTCTCCGGGATTGCCACAAAAACGAAAAAAAGAGAAAATTGAGAATGTATTTCTGTGTGTGAAGTCTAGGCCAGTAAATAGGCTACTAAAGATTGCCTGTCGCTTATGGCTCTAACCGGAAGATAAAAAGGGAACGCTACTACGTTTTTTTGTTAAAAGAGAAAAGTGCAAACCACGCAAAGGGCTTAAATGAACTCTTTTAGATATTCAAAATTGTGTGTGTGTTTAAGTCTCTAGTCTTTTTTTTCTAGTTAAGCTGAGTAACCAAAAAAGTGAGGGGGAAAAGGGTTTCCGTTGCCTTGTCATAATTTATTTTAAAATGTGAGGGGGGATTATAAGGGGGCTAATTTCCGTTCTTTTATTTTTTGGAGGGATTAAAGGCTTCTTAAATATATTTTTTAAAAATTTTAGTTTTCGTGTTTAATATTTATGTAATTTTTGTAGTCAGCGGGAGGAGAAAGATTATGTTAAAATTAAAAATGTGTTTATAAAAAAAGTTAAAAAGTACTTTTTTCTGTCCTCGTCATTTTAGCAGAGAATTTATTTTAAATAAATTAAAATATTTTTTTCTAAAGCAGAAAAAAAAATTTTTTATTCTAAGTACAATTGTTCATGCTAGAGATCGGACCGAGACGAGATTTCGATCAGAATCTCGGTTATCAAGATGAGGATTTGTTTTTTCGATCTCGATTCTCGTGCGACCCTCCCAGTTCGATCTCTAGTTAATGCTATTGAAAATTCTTTGGAAGGGAGATGGGATAGAACTAGACTTGGCTGATATCTCAGGCGGGATTGGGCGAGATTATCCCACTTTTTTGAATACCGATCCCGATTTTGCTGATCACGAGACCGAAAGACGAATCCCGATTTTATGTCGTAATCCCGATACCGGACAACTCTAGATATGTAGAACCATCATGGGGAAAGTTGGGTAAAGGCTCGGTTCCACAGCCAAACCGACTGTGCCGCTATCCAACTCTCCTTGTTGGGCTGTCTTTATACATTAATATTGTTTCCTTCTGTAAGTGCGGACACAACCTTTTTTGAGAAGATTTTTAAAATCAGGTTGACCTAGAATTTAAATAAACACAAAATGTTAAAAAAAGACACAACGCCAAAATATTTTTTATTAAGTAAAGGTTAGAGAAAAAGACTAGAGAATATTCTGGTATTTTCCTTGTTTCTCTCTACTAATTTTGCAACCTTTTCTTGTTTTTATGGTGACGCGTTGGCTCCGGTACAAAATATGGAATCGTTAAAATATGGAATGGTTAAAATCGCGAATAGGCTAAAAAGGGGTTAAAATACCGAATCGTTAAAATATGGAATCGTTAAAATATCGAATCGGGTAAAAAAGGGTTAAAATATGGAATCGTAAAAATATGGAATGGTAAAAATGTCGACACGGCCAAAATGGGTCAAAATGTCGAATTCTTTTAAAAACGGGTCAGATTTGTGCCATACGTTGATTGTTGATAATTTTATCAACATCAGTTTATTGATGATAAGTTGATTGATAAGTTTGGTAAGTCGTAGTCCGTCGTAATCTTTTCTGTCTGAGTTCACTGTACTTTACCGAGTAAAACCGGACCGGATAAATCAAGCATAATCGACCGGATCCGGTCCGGCATGATGAGGAACATTCAATGGAAAATATATGGAAAAATTAGAGTGGTATGCATTAGTTTTTAGTTAAGACCTAAAGTTTGACCTTACCGTATACGGTATGGAATACCGAAAAATAACGGTCAGCTTTTAAATTTTATCGGTCGGCATTCCGTACCGTACAACCGACACGGAATACCGAAAAATACCGTCGGTATTACGGTAACGCCCGGATTCAAGGTTTTGGCGCATCTTTAAAAAAATTCGACATTTTGACCTATTTTGGCCGTGTCGACATTTTATCAATTCGATATTTTAACGATTCCATATTTTAACCCTTTTTTAGCCGATTCGATATTTTTACCATTCCATATTTTAACGATTCCACATTTTAACCCCTTTTTAGCCTATTCGCGATTTTAACCCATTTTTACCCGATTCGAGATTTTAACCCTTTTTTAGCCTATTCCATATTTTAACGATTCGATATTTTGTCCGGACACGGACGCGTTTTAAGCATTTGCCTTCTATTTAAACATTTTATTTCTTTTATTTTTCTTTTATTTTTCTAGTTTTTCTTTTTTGTGATTTGTTGTAATTTTTTCTGTATGTTTCTTTAATTTTAGCAACATGCTTAAAGTTTATTTCTTTATAATTTATTAATTCTTTACCCAGACTTTGCAGACTTTAACAGAATCTCTTAAATAAACTTTGGACTTTAACCCTTTCTTTTATGGTTAGCTCCTTTCCTGAATATGTAGTCCATTTTTGAATCCTTTAGAGTACTAGTAAGTCTCCCCCAACGCTATGCCTTCCTTATGATTTGGTTGCCCTTTGGACCATCGTTCGAGCCTGGGGCAGCAAATACCTATCCCGTTCTTATACCTGTCCCGTTCTTTCAGTCTACCTTTTGGCCAAAATCCCCATCTTGGGTACCTCTTAAAAATCCTCGAGAACATCCATATCTCTAGCTATTTTGTATTTTTAACATTAATTTTAATCACTTCATATCCTTCAGATTTTCTACTTTTCTTCCATTAAACTTCAATTTTATTATTTTTTTCAAACTTTTTTTTTTAAACTGCTAATCCTTTTCAAAACAAAATTTTAGAGACAATCCAGTTTTTAAATTTTTATTTAAATATTTCATCACTTAATTTCATCATTTTTCTTCTTCTTCAAGTTCCACTTAATTTTCACACAAACAATTTTTTTTTAATTTTAATTTTCTCCTTTAATTTTCCCTCCCCTTTTTACTACTCTACTCAATTTCCTCTCCCTCCCATTTTTTAATTTTTTTAATAAATTATAAATTGTAAATGTTTGTGAGTGTTTTTTACGCTTTCCCCCATTTAATAAATTTTTTTAATTTAATGACATGCCATAAATAAATTAAAATAAATTTATTTAATTATTAGTTACTTGAGGGGGAATATGTAATAGAAAGAGGGGGGAGATGTAGTAGAAAGACTGTTTTTTACGAGTAATTTTTTAAAGAGAGACGTAATATTTCCCTGAGGGTGTAACCTTGGGGATAATTTAATAAACGTGTCTTTTTAATTTTGTTGCAAGAATTTTAGAAATTTAATTATAATTCTGGTTCGTTAAGAATAGAAAGGAAAGGCTCACGTTAAAAAAGTAAAGAACAGACTTTTTAAAATAAGGAACGGAAAATGAGGTTGGATATAAAGGGAATAGGGGTTGGATAAAGAATATGAAAATAGGCTTCGACCGGGACTTGAGACAGTCGAAAATGGAAATCTGTTCCTTGGTTCCATCCTGACCTTTCCAAAAAATTCTGAAAAGGAATCCGAACCTTAAGAAAATCTAACGATCCGAACCAATTGAAAAAAAAGTTTCAGCAGCCGCAATTTTAATTTTAAAATCTGCAGCCGCAATCCGCAAGTCAAAAAAAAACACTCCACGCAATCCTGTGGATTTCGTCCAGCCCTTATCCGAACCTCCTCTCTTTTCTTATTTAAAGGCGCTCCTTTTGAATTGATATTCATTTAGTTAACAAGTCTTTATGTAATTTAGGGTTTTTTTTGAGTTTTATTGTTTTATGTTTGTGTATATGTTAATCCGGAACCATTTTTGCTAATTTTATTAAATAAAATTTCCCCTAAAGACAAAATTCTAAATTCTGCTTTAAAATATTTTTTTTTTATTTTTCCTTTTTTAAACAAAAAATTAAAAATGCAAATAAAAAATATCTTTTATTCTTTTTAAATCTATAACCTACTACTTTACGTATTATAAAAAATGTGTTAACCTAAAACTAGTAGTTAGCACGCGATATAAAAATAAAAATGTACATATACTCACATTTGTATCCCCCCTTTCCATTGGGTACAGCCCAATTAGGCGCGCGGCCATAACGGCGCAAAGCCATAATTTGCTTCAAGATTTCCAAATCTTTCCAAATTTAGTATTAAACGATTCCTCTCATCGAGATAAAGAAATTGGTACCAAAATTAATAAAGGTCAGAAATTTTCCAGCAAGTTATGGCTTTGCGCCGTTATGGCCGCGCGCCTACTTGTCCCCCTTTTCAGTTTTCTATTTATTTTTTTTTCTTTTTATTTTTGCTCTTTATTTTAACCACCTATTTAATCTTTTTCTATTTTTTGATTATATAAATATTTTTAAAACAAAAAAATTAATAAGAATTTTTTTGAAAAATTTTTTTCAGTTATTTTCAGTAAGGGAGGGGGATTAGAGAAGGAGAGAGAATAAATAGGCCATTAAGATTAAAAATTATTTTTTTTCTCAAAAAATTTTTTTATACGCGCGGCATTACAAAATTGACAGAAAAAATTAATAAAAATAGAAAATAAATAAATTGCTAGGTTACGGTTAAAATATTAGAAAAAATTTGGTTAAAAAATAATTGGGTTTATTAGGTGCTTAGAAGGATTTTTTTTCTGTTTGCCTATAAAAGGAATAAATATTAAATATTTTTTATACAAACTAAAAGTAAAAGGGAGATTTTCTAAAGATTATTTTTTAAAAAGCTTTTTAGTTTTATTTTTGAGCATCTTTTGCCCCTATTTTTGCATTTTTAGTTAATTGACGGTTTAGGGGGAAAGGGAAAGGATTGTGTATATAAGGTAGAAAAACGTTTAAAAGAAGCTTTAAAAAACATTCTAAATATTTTATATCATTTTTATTTTGAGTTGGTATTGCATTAGCACAGAGTAGTGATTATTCTAGAATTTTTGTTGTTTTGGTGTAGTGGGATAATTTTTGACTTGACTGGAATGGGGGTCGTGGGTTCGAACCCGGTTGGGGGATTTTCATTTTTTACTTTTGGCTATTCATTTTTCCTTTGCATTTTCACTTCCTTTTGATGTTATTTGACTTTTTAATTTTTATTTTTGAGTGTTTTTTGGGATGATTGTTGTTTTTTGACTTTCTCGTTTATTTTATATTTTTCTTTGAAAATCGCGTTTTTAAATTCAAAATTTTTTTTAATTTAAATTTTTTAGACGATCAAATTGTGTCATTAGAAGAATTACAAAATCGAAAACCTTCTCAAAATTTCGCCGACTACAATTCTTTCAACACTACTTGCCCTCCCATCGACAGCAGCGACGTCAACATGCGATTCGACATTGGATACAATAATTCCCATCAACAACGGGGAAACAATTATCAACAGAAGGCGAAGAAATGGCACTTTAATGGTTTATAAATTTAATCTTTTTGAACTGACTCCAAGGGATCTCTTGTTTTTTGGTTATTCGCCTTTTTGGTTAAGTGGAGTTTTTTTGAGAACTTAAGGGAAAACGGTGTGGGTTCGAATCCCGTTGAGTGTCAACCTTTCTATTTTTGTTTTTCCTCCGTATTCCGGCTATTTTCTGTTTATGTCACACTCTCTGATAATTAAAATAATTTTACAATTTGTAGACTACTACCGTCTCGTTGACGATCACTTGGGCTCTGGAGCTTATGCCTCCGTAAAAACTGCAATCAATTTGGCTAGCGGAGAGGAATATGCTGTTAAGGTTGTGAACAAACACAAACATGGTCATACTCGTTCGCGTATCATGCGAGAAGTCCAAATTTTCAAACTTTGTCGAAATCATCCGAATATTGGTATTTATTTTTGTTTAAATCTTTTTTGATTTTCCAAGTCTGGGCCTGGATTATGGGGGTGGTATTGTGTCCTGGGTCGGATTATGGGTTTGATGAACTTCAGGGGAATTTAGGATTTTTAAAAAATGCTTTGGGTGTTGGCTATGACATGAGCACAACGGGAGTAGGGTTCTGGCTTTAGCACATTGGGGTGTTTCTAACTCAAGCACGGGAAAGGCCCAAGCCTAGGCACCAACCCCCACATCTTTGTTAGCCTTAAGTTTCTTTAATTTCAAGATCATTCCCATCATTTTCCTTTTTAAGTACAATTGGTTGAATGGTTCGAAGATGATAGTAGCTTCTACATGGTTTTTGAGAAGATGCGTGGCGGCCCTCTTCTTAATCATATTCAACGAAAAGTTTGTTTTACCGAACAAGAAGCCTCGCTAGTAACGCGTGATATTGCGAATGCTCTTAAATTTCTTCATGATCGGGGAATTGCCCATCGAGATGTCAAGCCGGGTATTTTTTAGTTTTCTTATGCGTGATTGGGATTTTTGGGTGGAATTTGGCTGGAAGTCACCAAAAAATTTTAATTTTAAGAAAACATTCTCTGTACCGAAGTAGACAAAATCTCTCCAGTCAAACTCTGTGATTTGGATTTGGCTAGCAAACCATTCGATGCTACTACAACGCCTGGTCGAATGCGTCCAGTACAATCAGAGCCAGATTTGGCTAGCCCAGTTGGAAGTGCTGAATTTATGGCTCCGGAAGTTGTTGATGCTTTTGTTGGGGAAGCGCTCAAATATGACAAGCGCTGTGATATGTGGTCATTGGGTGTGATTATTTACATTATGCTTTGTGGATATCCTCCGTTTTATGGAGAATGTGAGAAGGAAAATTGTGGATGGGATCAAGGTTATTATTTTATTTTTGATAAGATGTGGAACAAACTGGGGTTAAAGAGGATACGTTCGTACTAGGAAATTTTTTGCCTCTTTACTTGGAAATTATGGACAGTTTGTGTTCTTATTTTTGGTTAACTCTGAATTCTTACTACTATTTTTTAGGAGTGTTTAAGGGGGTCTGAACTTTTGCCTTTCTACTAGGAACTTGGGGATTTTTTGTGTCTGCTTATTTTTTTTTGGCTAGCCCAGCTTGGAAGTAGACTCGTTCCAACTATCTAATTCAATTAGTTAATCTTAATCATTTGTACATATTCTTAATCATTTGTAAGGAGGAAAAAACTTATGTTAAATGTTTACCATTTAAAACTTTTGGGTTGGGTTTTAATATCTATAAGAGACCGCAGGGTTAAACCCCGACAACTTACATTAGTTTTATTGCGACACTGACCTTCTATTCAATCTTTAATTTAAAATTTTGTAGGCGAGTCTTGCTCTGATTGTCAAGAGAATCTCTTTCATCGAATCCAAGGCGGCTACTTTGACTTTCCCGATGAAGAATGGAAGCATATTAGTGACAGTGCTAAAGATCTCATTTGCCATCTTTTGGTTTCTTTTTTCTTTAAATTCTTCAATTTCTCAATTTTTAAAGGTTCGAAACGTTCGCCAACGTTACACTGCTGATGAAGTTTTAACCCATCCTTGGGTAACTCGTGGTGCTCCAAAGACTCCTCTTCAAACGGCCACAAATCTTTCGCGAAATGACAGTGCTCGTGATGTTCACCAAATGAATGAACATTTTCTTATGATGAATCGAATTTCACCAATGATTGCACGTTTAAGTTCGCGTTTGAATGTTGCTGCTGCGGTGGAGGCGGGTTCTGTTGTTGTTGTTCCTGGAGGTTTCTTTTAAATTTTTTTAATATTCTAGTATAATTTTAATGGTTTTAGAAGAATAAGGAAAGACTCCCTTCAATCTAGGTTTGGACCCCTAACCTTTTAAGAGTCATAAAGTTTAGGGGTTGAAAGGCAATCCACCCATTGATGAAAATAATCCAGAGGAGACTAGATTCGGAACTAACCTCCAAACACAATATGTGTGATATCTTGTCGTTGTTAATACGCTGACTTTGAAACCTTGGACCCTTGGTCACCTCTAGTAACATGACGTTGTTAAAATACTTTTATGTGTTATTCAACCGAAATGAATTGTCCTTGATTGTGTCTTTCCATAAAGTATTTTGTAGAGTTCGAACTTTTCAAAATGCCGGGCCCGGGACCCGGTTTTTTTTTCTCAAAATCGCACCCGGACCGGTTTTTCCGGATAAAACCGGAAAAACCGGTTAGCCCGGAAAACCCGGATTTTTTCAGACCCGGGCCCGGACCCGGTTTTTTCTAAATTTATTAAAAACAAAAAATCTATATACCCAATGCCTACATATATTTTTATTAGTGTAAGGCAAATGGATTTAGTTGGTTAACACGATATAACGGCGGGATCCTGCGGGATTTCTGGGTTTTCACATAATAGATATCGGGAAGATATGAGGATTTGAAGGGATTTAAAAGGATATCTGTGGATATTTGTAGTGATATCTAGGTTATAAGAGGATTTTGAGTGATATCGGAGGATTTAAGGAGAGTGGAGCATAAACTGGAGGATTAAGAGGCCAAAAAGCCGCTTTTTCAGCGCCGCAGGCGAAAATTTTGAGAATTTCTATTGTCTTAGGCCGAAAAAATTCACTTTTTCTGCACCGCAGGCGAAAATTTTTAGAATTTTGGAGCTCAAGCAGCCAGATTTCTTCCATACTCAGCACGCTGCAGGTAATTTTTGAGGAAATTTTGTCAAAAATATACCCCCAAGAACTAGTTCCAGAACTAGTTCCAAAGCTAGTTCCAGACATTTACTACTTCCGTAGTTCCAGATCCAAGCTAGTTACAGGCATTTACTAGTTCCGTAGTTCTAGTTCCAAACTAGTTCCACATAATCGTTAGTTCCGTAGTTTTAGTTCCGGAACTGGAACTAGAACTAATTAGTTCCGGAACTGGAACTAGAACTAATTAGTTCCGGAACTGGAACTAGAACTAATTAGTTCCGGAACTGCACTGCAATCCGCTAGATTTCTTACTTTTCCAGCGCCGCAGGCAAAAATTTTGAGAATTTTGGGAGATCCTTAAGCCAAAACTTCCATTTTCAGCCAAACTTACATTCCAAAACTCCCACTCCGGGCCCGGCAAA